CTCTCCATAGGATGGTAAAAGCTCGTGATAGGGGCTTCTTGCAGTTCTTGATGAACACAGAGTTCCATGAGTCTGGCCCTGGGGCAGAGTGCATGGGCATGTCATTTATCGCCGGTTAGTTAGTTTAATGTGTGTGTGTGTGTGTGTGTGACTCAACAATCAATATTTGCACCAATAACTCATTACAGTTGTGACCGGGTGTGGAAGTGTGAATTGCTCATTACACTATAATTTGTTCATGATTGTAGCCATGTATAAACGTAAGTAACCATTCTTACAGAATTCATTACCTTTATAACTTGTGAGCTCATTACCTTTGTACCTAGTTCAGCTATCAAAACTTTGGGGGCCCAGTCCCTGGACCCATTACGTACCTCTGTAATCTGTAAATACCTTTGTAACTTGTCATGATTGTGACCAGACCTACCTGGAGTTCATTACCTTAGTAAATTGTGAGTTCATTACCTTTGTAAATTGTGAGTTCATTACCTCTGTAACTTGCTCAGCAATCAAAACTTTGGAGTCCAGTCCCTGGACCAATTATGTACCTCTGTAATCTTTTGACTACCGCCCACAAGATGGGTATGGGGTGCATAATAAACATATTAAACTAAGTTAGTTTAGTTTAACCCGTAAACGGTCCAAACGTATATATACGTTTTTTTCAACATTTGAAAGCATGTAAAAAAAGTAGATCTTCTTTATGTTTTTTTACATTTGAAAATGTGTAAAAAACTTTGATCTACTTTTTTTTGTTATATTTGAAAATATGTAAAAAAAAACGTAGATCTACTTTTGTAGCACTACACATATGAACGTAGATCTGCTTGGACCGTTTACGGGTTAATATGTTTATTATGCACCCCATACCCATCCTGTGGGCGGTAGTCAAAAGATTACAAAGGTACATAATGGGTCCAGGGACTGGACCCCAAAGTTATGATAGCTGAACTAGTTACAAAGGTAATGAACTCAAGGTAGATTTGGTCACAATCATGGCAAGTTACAAAGGTAATGAATCAGCCTCACTCCTATACATGGTTACAGTCATGAACAAATTACAAACTAATGAACCACTGATACGTCCACACCTGGTCACAATTGTAATGAGTTATAAATACAAGTATTAAGTGGGTCATACACCCACACTAGTGCGCACGCACACACATACATACACGAGGGCGCACGCACAGACATATGCACACGAGCGTACAAATATATGCATACACACAGGGCCAGGAGCCGAGTCTCGACCCCTGCAACCACAATTAGGTGAGTACTCAAGCACGCACACCCACACGCACACCCACACACACACAAACATACAAATATATGCATACACACTAGCACGCACACCCACACACACACGCATACACACACCCACACACACACCCACACCCACACACACACCCCACACCACACCCACACCCACACACACATATAAAAAGGATTGTTTTGTGTTCTGTTAGCGGGGAGTAAATGATACGTCTTCGGAGGCTTCTTTGTTTATTGAAAGGTCGTGGTGGGTACACAGGCTTGTGTGTTGTGCCCATGGCCCGGGCAGGGCCATCCCACGAGAGAGAGCTAGGAGTAGGCCTTGTGTCTTCCTGCCAATGTTTAATGGGTTTGTTTGGTAGGTGCTGCAAGCGGGGTGTGAATTATAAACGTCTTCTTCGGAGGCTTCTTACTTTATTGTTAAGTCGTGGTGGGTACACAGGCTTGTGTGTTGTGCCCATGGCCCGAGAGGGCCATCCCACGAGAGGAGCTAGGAGTAGGCCTTGTCTTCCTGCTAGGCCGCTGTGAGAGTGAAAGAGTGGCAAGGGCAGGCAGGCTGACGTGCCCACCGAGAGGCCTGGCTACAGAGGGCAACACTTGAGTGGTGCGAAATATGAACTAAGCTGGCAGACAGCATGGGCTGTCTGTGCAGACAGTACAGGCTGTCTACACACACACACATGGTAATGCATTATTTACAGCTAGCAAAGCCAGGGTATTTCTCCAGAATGGTCTGTAATATACCACTGTGGATAAAATACTTTGCCATTTCTTGAACATTTCTGAGTGAGTTGTTTCTAAATTCATTAATTTGATCACACTCCAGTACATAATGACGCAAGGTGTGACAATAGTCCATCTGGCAAAGTTTACATTTCGTTTGGTCTACATCTGGTGGCAGTGATTTAACCTGCCATATAAAAAATGCCTCATGTGGAAACCCAGCCAGAGCTGGGCAGTAGTGACATCCAAGAGTCTGCTTATCTTGTTGGATGCACCATAGACATGTGGCTCCTCCTGCATGATGGAATGATGATAGATGGACTGACTTGTGTCATTCTCCCTAAGTCTTAAGTCAATAAAGTTCATTTGAAGTTCTTTTCGTATTATTGTTCTCAAACTGCTAACTGACAACCCAAGATTGTAATCTACCCCTCTTTGAAAGCATACAGCTTAGCCAATTTATCAGTTCTATCATGCATCTGAAGACCAGTGTGAGATGGAATCCACAGCATGTGCACTCTGACTCCACTGTCCACAATCTTACCATACCTATGTCTGGCTTCTGACACAAGCATGCCACAATTTATACTTAATGAGTTGAGAGCATTTATGGATGACAGAGAATCAGTTACAATTAAAGTGTCAACCTTAGTTAGATACATGGATGCATTTGAGTGCAAGGAGTAGGGCAAACAGTTCTGTTTGAAGGGTAGAGGCCCAGTTATTGATGCGTGCTCCAATTTCTTTAAGAGAGCCATCACTCTGTATGACACAGCAGCACTACCAGCTGCACCAGTGGACTGGTGAACAGAACCATCAACGTAAATAATTTGTGAAAGAGTGTTCTGTGTGACTAAGTTATCAATACAGCTTAAGGCATCATGTTTGGTTTCATTGATAACTTAGTCACACAGAACACTCTTTCACAAATTATTTACGTTGATGGTCATATGCCTTCTTGAGATCAAAAAGACTACCATAATTATCGGAGTGGTTTTTAGCAAAGGCATTTTACACATATGTATCTAAGTGGAGCAAGGGATCTAGAGTAGAGCGGCCCTTGCAAAAGCCATATTGGCTAAGAGAAACTATTGTGAGTCTCCAAATACCATATCAGACGTCTATTCACCAATCATTCCATCACCTGGCAGACTGCACTGGTGAGAGCAATGGGACAATAGTGATAGGTATCATGTCCCGAAGTGCCTGCTTTATGAAATGGTAGTACAATGGCAGATCTTCATTGTTCATTGTTGAAAAGACACAAGCCCAGGCCTACAGACCAATTATGTACCTCTGTAATCTTTTGACTACCGCCCACAGGATGGGGTATGGGGTGCATAATAAACATATTAAACTAACTAAACCAGGCCTACTCCTTAGGCCTCTGTGGTAATCTGCCATCCTTCCTTGCTGCTTTCTCATCTGAAAGACATTTTTGTATTCATGTTGGCACCTTGTTTTCCTCAGACTTTGTTCAGATTGAGAGAGTCCCACATGGTTGTATACTTAGCACTAACCTTTTTCTCTTGGCTATAAATGATCTACAGTCCATTCTTCCATCGAATATTTGGTATTCGTTTTATGTGAATGACTTCGCTATAGCTTACGCGGGAGCTGACTATTGCCTGGTAGTGGCCTCCCTTCAGGATGCGGTTGACCATGTTTCCCATTAGGCCACTTCTCATGGGTTTAAATTTTCTGGTTCGAAAACCTATTTCACTACTTTTAGGCGACCAACTTGTCCCAGATATTCCACTGTGCTTGCATGGCTCGCATATCCTGGAATACGATTCGGTCAGGTTTCTTGGCTTTCTGTTCAATCGCCAGTTGACGAGAAAACCTCACATTTCCTCTTTGAAAGCAGCTTGCCATGGTCGGCTGAACCTCCTTAAAATTCTTGCGCATCATTCATGGGGGGTGGATCGCAGGATTCTCTTTCATTTACATTCCACCCTAGTCTTTTCGAAGCTGGATTATCGTGACCAAATCTATTCTGTGGCTTCTCCTGCAACTCTCCTTAAGCTAGATTCCCTTCATCATTAAGGTTTACGTTTATGCCTTGGTGCCTTTCATTCATCCCCTGTTGAAAGTTATTTTGAGACGAACGTTCCTTAGCTGATCGTCGTGATGCTCATTGCCTTCGTTACTTTGTCCACTCTCATGACCTTAGTGTTCTTTCTATGTATAGTTTGATCTCCGATGTTAGTAGAGGTCTAATTGTTTGATCAGCGCTCCTGCTTACTCCATCCTTTTTCTCTTCGTCTTGACTCCGGTCTTCTCTCCAGTTGCCTCCCTTGTATGCTTATGTAGCATCTGCCTTTTACCTTCCCCCTTGGAAAGTTCTGACAGTTTGTGTCTGTTCTTCCCTACTGCCATGCTCTAAAGCCTTCATACCTATGGCTGCTTCTCGCTCTCTTTTTCTTGATCACTTCCAGTCTCATGCTTGTGACGTTGCTGTTTATACAGATGGTTCTAAATCTTCTGACAGTGTTGAGTTCACAGTAGTGTTCCCTGATGATGTTGTCTGGGGTCATTCGCTAAACTCAGCTAGTGTTTTTACAGCTGAGTTGTATGCCATCTTCATAGCGCTTCTCCATATTACATGATTGTCTCCTTAGGTACCTAGCTCATAATCATTTCAGATTTCCTTAGCACCTTAGCGTTTTACAAGCTATTAAACAATTTGATTCTCATCCATTGGTCCTTCGTATTCAACTTTGGTTGCGTCATGTAGCTAGCAAAAGCAAAGACGTCATTTTCTGTTGGGTCCTTGGACACGTTGATGTGCGGGGCAATGAACAGGCAGACACAGCTCCGTGGTATGTTATCTTCCGGTTTCCTACAGAGGCATTCCATTCAGGGACTATTTTATTGCCATCTCTACCTATCTCCACAATCGTTGGCAACAACGATGGTCAGATATACACCATAACAAATTACATTCTATTCAACCATGTTTGGGTTTGTGGCCCTCTTCTTACCACCTTTGCCATACTCACCTTACCCATTGGTATCTCATGGAGCGACACCTTATTCCCCTCTGTGAGGCCTGTCAGGTCCCAGTTTCGGTTCATCACTTTCTTGTGGGTTGTCCAGTTTACAAGCGTGCTCGCAGAATTTACTTCTACCATTGCCACCTCTCTTACTTTATCTTCCCTCCTTGCTGACAGCCCTGACTTTGACTTATACTAATTTTTTTACTTTTTCTCAGTAACTGCTTTACTGCATGAACTTTGACGTATAGCCTTTAGTGTCCCTACCAGCCCCTTTATTCACTTACCTCTGATCCCCTTTCCAACTAGCTGTTTATAGACCAGGCACTACTGACTGCCCCACAGCACTGCATGACACTTGTTGGTTTAGCACTTTGAGTATAATAACCTTAACTCATATTTTTTGAGCTGCTGCCCAAAAGGTAAGCTACCACATCGCTGGTTGGCTGAGGCCCACCCACGTGCTCCAACTATCATGTGCATATCACATCTCAAATTTTTCATCGCAACTCAAAACTAAATTTCTCTGAGAGTAAATCATAGCACAAAATTATCATAACTCAAGGAACCATTATGTTGCAAATACAGCCTCTTGAACCTCAGGCAGGAAAGACATAAGTTTCAATTTTGATAACTAGGAGGTTCTGGAGCTCCAGTTATGCCAGAATGTCTAGTTACATTGCAGTAAGTCCTGTTGGTTTGTAGTATGTGGAATGATGACAGTACCACAGCTAGAATCGAGAGAATAATGTTTCTGTATTGTGCCTGGGGTGTCATCAATAGAGCTAAGGAGGGATTATTATTACAATCAACACTAAGTGCTAAACTCACAAGGATCATGTAGCACTGCAGCTGAGGAGGGAGAGATTGTAAGCTTGCTCAGCATTCTGCAGACAATACACATTCCATTCTAGAGGGAATGAAAGGAAACGTTTTATCAAATATGCCTCAAGTGCTTTGCTAGTGCTGTGATCGAGAGATAATCTGTAGGCATCATTGGTTGAAGAGTAAATTATTATGGGGAGTGTTAAACCCATGGGGATTATTCAGCATCTGTGGTGCAAATGGAAGGTATTCAGGCTCAATTTAGGGAACTGGAGCACAGATCCAATTCCCTAGATCAAAAGCCCTTCAGCAGCATCAAGGTACCTTCCTTGAGTAGGTTAAATTATTATAATCAAACAATAAAGCGCTAAACCGACAAGGGTCTCGAGTAGGTTAGAGTAAAGAATTTCGTCCAAAAGCCTCCTTATAATGAAGATTTCTCAGCAGTTTGTGTCTTAGAATAGGAGCAAAGGGTGTAACGGTATCAGCACCATCAATTACTGGTCGAGGTTGCTTATATGGAGGCCTCGAGTTATTTATCCTGTGATGTGCAATCAGTCCAAAAATTGGTGCACCATCTTGAGAGAAACCAGGATCATGGTCAGTCAAGCGGAGGTCAGACATATCAAAAGGGTCAGCTGGAACTCCGGCACTATTATTATTATTATTAAAATCAAGGGGGAAGCGCTAAACCTGGAGGATTATATAGCACCTGGGGGGGGGGATGTGGAAGGCATTCAGGCTTAATTTGGGGAACTGGAGCACAGATCCAATTCCCTAAATCAAGAGCCCCTCACCAACATCAAGGAACCTTCCTTGAGGGGACTCTGGCACTAGAGTTAGGCAACAAGGCATTGCCCAAAGGCTGTACCAGGTTCATATTAAAATAAAAAAAAAGGGGGCCCAGGATGAGGGAGATCATGAAAATGATTGTCCACAATTAGAATTATCTGTTAAAAAAGAAGGGGGGAGCTTCTAGGAGAAACAAAAAGTCTGTCCCCCCTCTACATACAAGAGTACCTTCAGGACAGTTGGAAGTGCCGATGCTGCACTGAAACCGTTCCCTACCCTGTCCTTTATCCCAGTAAAGCAGCAATCCAGGCTGGCATCCTTGCAGCCACCTTGGCTGACAAGAGATGAGAGACTGGAAACCTGCCAAGTCATACCTTCCTTGTGCTGGCAGCCTCCAGGAATACAGCCTCTCTTCACTTAATGACAGAGTTCTGTTCTTAAGACCACATCGGTAAACGAATTCGTCGCTAAGTGAGGAAAATACTATAATGGTAGTGGGTATGTGTCAACCATCTTTGATATTATTTTAATGTCACCTTGGCACTATTTATAACATTTCTGGTATATTTTTAAATGTTTATACAGTAGTGTACTGTATATTGTACTAAACAGAATAGAAGAAATCAGCTCTTATACACATTATTTAGGTATGCATACTAGTCAGAGAGCCCATCATAAGTCCAAGTCGTCAGTAAACGAGTACATCGGTAGTGAAAAGAGGCTGTACTCCTGTCACCCAAGAATACACAAAGCTGTCCGCCAGAACTCCAGGGAGCAGCTCAGCATATTTCTAGATGATCCAGTTCCAATGACAAACACCATCATCACCAAGGTACTCACAGGAATGGGATAGACAATTATACCCTTTCCTCAATCTAGGAGCTGTAATTTACAATGGAAATATCCCCAAAGGCTAAATGTGTAGGAGGGGAGGGGAAGGGGCAGTTAAATCCAATTCAAGGAAAGAGTTAAAAAGCTTAATTCCTCAGATCAAAAGCCTCTTCACTGCAATGGGGGACCCCTCCCCCCTTGAAGAGACCTTCAATGGCATCAAACCACTTCCTTGGAGGGATTTTGTATTTGTATACCTTAGTAAAACTGGTGTTTTCTCTGTGCTTACAAATCCACAAATGAAATATAAGGCTAATAAAAATATGATTTAAAATGACACTATACTGTATTTAATTTCAGGGTATAATTTTATTTGTACAAGAACACTGAGTGGTGACATTCAGTATATATAAGATTTCTATATCGACAGCCTTTACATCATTTTGCAGTATCAGTAAAGGATATAAACAAAGTCTTTACAATTTACAGTACTCAAAACTATTATTGTATTAAGAGTAAAAATATTTAAGTCCTATTGCACGTATATTTCAGTATCAAATATTTTTGTTTACATAAATGTGCAACTGGTCAAACATACTATCTATTCCTGAACAGGTTATCCTTTGTACACTAGCAGTATGGCTGAAAAATACATAATGTACATAATCTCAAAGAGTGTCTATTCAATGACATTCCACTCAATCCCTATACAAACAAACCTTTTATAAAAAAGACCTTTTAGACTTTTTAATATACACTCTTATCCCCAGATTAATGGATCCAAAATCAAAACTTTCCTTATCATTACACAAAAAAAAAGTCAAAGCAAACTTAATTCATGAAAACGTGTTTCCATGAAAAACACGAATGAGAATAGCACCATACAATCTACATTAATTAACCTATTTGCATATATAATGGGGAAAAAATGGGCTACAGTAGTTATTAAGCATTTACTTATGCTATACAAAAGCTCAAATTGTGGAGATTGCTACTGAAGTAGTAAACTATAGTGCTAGTATACAAACAATGTAAGATCTTACCATCTGCAGTTTGAAATTTATCAAACCACTCTGAATCAAACAAATGCACTAAATTGGTGGCCTTAAACCCAGTGGAAATCTTGTTGTATACCATAATACTGTTTTCTAACATTCTGATAAAGAATGCAGAATTTTTATCAACTCCATTTTTTATTCACAGACTAGTTTCTCAGCAAGGGCAATCTGGTAACTCAGTATAGGAATGAAATAGTATAAGAAAATGCAGTCTGAGGTTTAAATCACCTCAGACTGAGGGAGACAGCAAGGTGTATCAATCATCTGGCTAAAATTTCAGTGGTATTCATTGCGCGGCTCGCGAGCCGCCAATAACAAGATATGCAGGCTAATATTACCATGTCTAATTTTTCTCATTTACTATATTTCATTAGTAGCTCAGTACTACTTAATTTAGTTGAGTTACGCTAACTTGCAGTAGCTGCGGCTCTCTCAATCGATGTGTTTAACAGAAGTGGCTCTCTTGCAAAAATTAGTGAATAACAACTGGCTAGATATATGAGAGTAATTTGGGGTTTGGCAACAAGCAGGTGGTAGACTGATTATACACTAGACTACTATAAATAAAATTAAAAACCATCGCCAGCTTCTCAGTGAAAGTCCAGCCAGGAAGTATTGGGCCTCTAAACCACCACAATATTATTAATGTTAAGAGACACCAGCAATGTTAACTTTTGATATTGTACATTTTTGACAAAATAATAAAACCTCTGACCATTCAAAAAATGAGATTTTAATACCTAAGGAATATATTGCAAACAGTTGGAGATTCAACTTGTATATATTCTGTATATTCTACAGATCTGCAGTTTTGCCTGCCTTGAAAGGGGCCAGTAATATACAGTAGTACTCCAGCCTAGAAAGAACAAGCAATTTGAAGAGGATCATCATTGGCTTGGCATTCCTAGTTTTGAAGGTTCTCATTATTCATCCCATCATTTTCCTAGCAAATGTGGTAGCAACAGTGTTGTGATCTTTGAAAGTGAGATTCTGACATTATCTTACTCTGGTCCTTCACAATAATTTTTCACTTTGTTGTGTGGTTGGAATTTGTTTTATACTCTGATCCATTTTTAATTCCTTGAGTTTTCCATAGCAGAACTAATTAAAATTTGTCTTTATTAAACTTCATGTTGTTTTTTGAGGCCCATTTAAAGACTTGGTCAGTGTCTGCTTGGATATTTGCAGTGTCCTCAATGGATGACACTGCAAATTTTGGTATCAGAAAAGTAGCACATGGTGCTGTGGCTTACATCTGTCTACGTCAGATATGAGGATGAAGAAATGGATGGAAGTGACTACTGTACTTTGTGGAACAGAACTTTTCACTATACCTGCCTCTGACTTTACTCTATTTACTATTGCTGTGTGTTCTATCTGTAAGAAAGTTGTAAATCAATCTACCCACTTTACCTGTTATTCTATTACAATATATTTTGTGTGCCATTACACCATGATCGCACTCATCAAAGACTTTTTTTTTTAACATGTCAGCCATTTCCCACAGAGGCAGGGTGACCCAAAAAGAAAAAACTTTCACCATCATTCAACACTTTCACCATCACTCATACATAATCACTGTCTTTGCAAAGGTACTAAGATATGACAGTTCAGATGTCCCTTCAAACCACCAATATCCCAAACCCCTCCTTTAAAGTGCAGGCATTGTACTTCCACTTCTAGGACTCAAGTCCGGCTAACTGGTTTCCCTGAATCCCTTCACAAAATATCCTGCCCACACTCCAACAGCTTGTCAGGTCCCAAAAACCATTCATCTCCATTCACTCCTATTTAACATGCTCACATAAGCTTGCTGGAAGTCCAAGCCCCTCACCCACAAAACCTCCTTTACCTCCCCCTCCAACCTTTTCAAGGATGACCCCTACCTTGCATATACAGGCGTATATGCATATGAGTAAAATTTCAGGTAAATTTGAGATGGTCGGGTGAGAACCAGCACTGAATGACTCCTCTGTAAAGCTATTTTATCTGGAATATACTAATGTATACATTATGTTTCATATTTTTAACACAAAATGAGATTTATGGTCACTACTGTGAGCTGCTTACCACAATGTTAACACAACTTCAGGCAAATACAGTGGAACCCTGGATTTCGGCTGCTGCGGATATCGGCCGGATCGGAAATCGGTTGCTTTTTGGCCAAAATTTTTGCCCTGGATTTTAGCTGGTGATTCGGAAATCGGATGTATTGGAGACGTCCGTCTGCCTGGGGATGCCGTCAGTCTGGCTTTGTCACTGGTTGAGAGAGAGCATTCATCCAGAGCATTTTGCAATTTTTGTGCTTGTTTATTGATTGTGACTGAAATAAGCCACCATGGGCCCAAAGAAGGTTCCTAGTGCCAGCCCTTTGGTAAAGAAAGTGAGAAACATGCCTGTTGTGGAATCTATTGTGGCTTTGGGGAAGTCCATGGGGTTGGATATGAGTGGCCAGGATATGAAAGAGTTGGTGGAGGACCACAGGGAAGAGCTAACCACTGAAGAGCTGCAAGACCTTCACCTGCAACAGCAACAGAACACAGCTGAGGAAAATGCTTCAGAGGAGGAGGAGGAGGAGGAGGAGGAGGAGGAGGAGGAAGAGAGAGGGAAGAATGTGTCTTCTTCAGTGATTAAGGACAAAGGTAGAGGGTGGTAATGATTGTGGTGGAGATAACCTCTCCTCCTTCCTGTCTTCCATACTCCAAGTCTTCAATAAAGGTATGTAATAATGATTTAACTGTTCATTTATCCATTTCATTGGTCATTTCATTTAGTTCTCATTGTTTTGTATATGTAAAACTATAGTTAATCTTTAAAAAATGTGTTTTTTGTTAATAGTATTTTTGGGCGTCTGGAACGGATTAATTGTATTTACGTTATTTCTTATGGGAAATATTGCTTCGGTTTTAGGCCATTTCGGATTTAGGCCGACCTTCTGGAATGGATTATGGCCGAAATCCAGTGTTCCACCGTTGCTTACAAGGGGAGGATGACACTCCTGAAACTGAGAAAATAAATTTATTCACTGAAAATAAACCTTTCCAAATTATGCTTACTAATGCTAATTAAAGGGTTTTAAGTTACAGTATCAATGGGAACCACTGAACACTGCTAAGAAATAAGTACTTTCAATCAAGTTGAAAGAAAAGATTTTTTTCAAGATATAATATTCATGGGTAAGCACCAAACCCACAAGGGTAATATAGCACTTAAGAGAATGAGAAGTAATCAGGTTTGATCCAGAGGGAGGATAGCTCCCCTTTGCACCCAAAGCACACTGCATAAGGGCAGAAAAATACGAGTTATAAGAGCTGAGAACAATGGATCTCAGGGTAAATCCACGGAAGTTGAATGTTAGTCTTTCAAGGAAAGTTCATTGGAGTTTAGTAACACTTCTTCACAGTAACAGTTAATTCATACCTTCTTCACTCCAGGTGAAGAAGTCATGTGACATAGAAGAAAGGAATCTTTTCTTTCTTCAATGTTTTTTTATCATTTATTTTCACATCACTGTGAAATTAACATATATTCATACATATATAGTGAGTGCGTGTGTGCATGAGTGTGTGACTGTGCATGTGTGCACGTGTGCACATACACGTGGTTGCAGGGGTTGAGTCACAGCTTCTGGCCCTGCCTCTTTGTTGGTCACTACTAGGTCCACTCTCTCCCTGCTCCATGAGCTTTGTCGTACCTCTTCTTAAAGCGATGTATGGATCCTGCCTCCACTACATCACTCTGCAGACTATTCCACTTTCTGACGACTATGACTAAAGAAATACTTCCTAACATCCCCGTGACTCATGAGTTTTCAACTTCCAACTGTGACCCCTTGTTTCTGTGTCCCATCTCTGGAACATCCTGGCTCAGATGTTATCATGTCTCCCCTAACCCTCTTGTCCTCTGGTGTCGTCAGGCCGATTTTTCTTAACCTTTCTTTGTAGGACATTACCCTTAGGTCTGGGACTAGTCTTGTTGCATACCTTTGCACATTTCCTAATTTCCTGACGTGCTTGGCCAGGTGTGGGTTCTAAACTGGTGCTGCATACTCCAATATGGGCCTGACGTACATGGTGTACAGTGTCTTGAACAATTCCTTACTGAGGTATTGGAACTCTTTTCTTAGGTTTGCCAGGCACCCACATGGTGCAGCAGTTATCTAGTTAATGTGTACCTCAGGAGACGCGCTCGGTATTATACTCACCCCAAGATCCTTCTCGAGTATAGTTTGAAGTCTTTGGCCACCTGGCCAATACTCTGTCTGCAGTCTTCTTTGCCCTTCCCCGATCTTCATGACTCTGCATTTGGTGGAGTTTAATTCTAGGAGTCAGTTGCTGGACCAGGCTTACAGCCTGTCCGGATCCCTTTGTAGTCCTGCCTGATCCTCACCTGATTTAATTCTCCTCACTAACTTCACATCATGTTATTCACCTCACTAACTTCTGTCATGTTATTCACATGTACCAAAAACAGCACTGGTCCTAGGACTGACCCGTGGAACCCTGCTCGTCACAGGTCCCCACTCTGACACCTCATCACGTACCATGACTCATCGTTGCCTCCTTGTCAGGTATTCTCTGATTCGTTGCAGTGCCTTTCCTGTTATGCATGTCTAATCCTCTGGATTTGTACTAATTTCTTGTGAGTTACTGTGTCGAAGGCATTCTTGCAGCCCAAGAAAATGCAATCTACCCACCCCTCTCTCTCTCTGTTGTTGTACTTCTGTTACCTTGTCAATAGGTTTGTGAGATAGGATTTCCCTTCCCTGAAACTGTGCTGGTTGTCATTTATAAGCTTGGTCCTTTCTAGGTGCTACAGCTAGCAGAGCTAGACAGACAGACAGACATGTTTGTGTATAAGTGAAAACAAATAAAGCCAGGGCTCCCTGAAGCAGCGCACGCTCATCAAGCGTCACTGCACTGTCAGCAGTTTACTGACACTCATCGTAACACCATGCTTGAAGGAGTTTCATATATACTCCAGCATGTCTAAAACATTGCTGAGACCTATAAATACTGTACTTTGTATATATTTCTAGACAATAGTAAATGATCAAGGCAGACAAAAATGTTCACCTGTCGGTGTGATTGTGTCTATTTGATTACTATTTCAGCACCTAATATTAGTGTTAAACAAAGATTGGCTGTGAAATCATAAGAACTATTACAAATTGTAATTATCAGAACATAACAATTATATAAATTAAATAAAAACGAGAAAAAAAGGTATATTGGCAACACTTCTGCAAGTGGCAAGATTCTATGTTGCAGTCAGGTGACCATCCAGCGCCAACTTCGCGGGCTTATATCTCGGTAAGTACTGACCCTAACAAATTTTTTTTATCCTATAAAATGTAGAAAAATGCACTCATTTAATTTTTTTTTTTCCAAAATATTCAGAGTGCTACGTTAGTGAACGTATATCTACGTTTCGACAGTTTAAGGGTTAAAAAGAATTTTTTTTTTTTTTGCGATCAGTACTTACCGAGATGTAGAGGCATGAAGGTGACAAAGTGAACCGCTTATGGTAATATTGGTGACTGCCGCTCACTCAGTAATATTTTTACTTTTATTCTATTTTTTCTTTTCTAATACAGTGTATTTTATTTTTTTCAAGTAACTTTTGTGGCCTGTGTGACCAATATAATGCATAGTGTTATATATATCCACTCATTGTATGCTACACAATAACCACACAAATATTATATTGTTTACAAAACTTGTTTACACAAACCCATGCTGCCTTCCCCACCAACTCACATAGAAATGGCTTCCCCACCACTCACATAGAAATAAGTCACTTCGACTTTTTTGGGTTATCTTAGGTAATTTACACATATGCTGCTATGCATATGTTGAGGAAGAAAGGGAGGCGGTAATTTCATGCACTGGCCAGGTAGGTATACCATCTTTTAGGAGTGAAGAAGAGCAGAATGTAAGTGTGGGGGAAGTACATGAGGCACTACGTAGAATGAAAGGGGGTAAAGTAGCTGGAACTGATGGGATCATGACAGAAATGTTAAAAGCTGGGGGGATATAGTGTTGGAGTGGTTGGTACTTTTGTTTAATAAATGTACGAAAGAGGGGAAGGTACCTAGGGATTGGCGGAGAGCATGTATAGTCCCTTTATATAAAGGAAAAGGGGACAAAAGAGACTGTAAAAATTATAGAGGAATAAGTTTACTTAGTATACCAGGAAAAGTGTACGGTAGGGTTATTATTGAAAGTATTAGAGGCAAGACAGAATGTAGGATTGTGGATGAGCAAGGTTGTTTCAGAGTGGGTAGGGGATGTGTAGATCAAGTGTTTACATTGAAGCATATATATGAACAGTATTTAGATAAAGGTAGGGAAGTTTTTACTGCATTTATGGATTTAGAAAAGGCATATGATAGAGTGGATAGAGGAGCAATGTGGCAGATGTTGCAAGTATATGGAATAGGTAGTAAGATACTAAATGCTATAAAGTTTTTATGAGGATAGTGAGGCTCAGGTTAGCGTGTGTAGAAGAGAGGGAGACTACTTTCCGGTAAAAGTAGGTCTTAGACAGGGATGTATAATGTCACCATGGTTGTTTAATATATTTATAGATGGGGTTGTAAAAGAAGTAAATGCTAGGGTGCTCAGGAGAGGGGTGGGATTAAATTATGGGGAATCAAATACAAAATGGGAAGTGACACAGTTACTTTTTGCTGATGATACTGTGCTTATGGGAGAAATTCTAAAGAAAAATTGCAAAGGTTAGTGCATGAGTTTGAGTGTGTGTAAAGGTAGAAAGTTGAAAGTGAACATAGAAAAGAGTAAGGTGATGAGGGTATCAAATGATTTAGATAAAGAAAAATTGGATATCAAATTGGGGAGGAGGAGTATGGAAGAAGTGATTGTTTTCAGCTGTACTTGGGAGTTGATGTGTCGGCGGATGGATTTATGAAGGACGAGGTTAATCATAGAATTGATGAGGGAAAAAGGCGAGTGGTACGTTGAGATATACGTGGAGTCAAAAAACGTTATCTATGGAGGCAAAGAAGGGAATGTATGAAAGTATAGTAGTACCAACACTCTTATAGGGGTGTGAAGCTTGGGTTGTGAATGCAGCAGCGAGGAGGTGGTTGGAGGCAGTGGAGATGTCCTGTCTAAGGGCAATATGTGGTGTAAATATTATGCAGAAAATTTGGAGTGTGGAAATTAGGTGTGGAGTTAATAAAAGTATTAGTCAGAGGCTGAAGAGAGGTTGTTGAGGTGGTTTGGTCATTTAGAGAATGGATCGAAGTAGAATGACATGGAGAGCATTTAAATCTGTAGAAGGAAGGCGGGGTAGAGGTTGTCCTCGAAAAGATTGGAAGGGGTAAGGGAGGTTTTGTGGGCGAGGGGCTTGGACTTCCAGCAGGCGTGCGAGTGTGTTCGATAGGAGTGAATGGAGACGAATGGTATTTGGGACCTGACAATCTGTTGGAGTGTGAGCAGGGTAATATTTAGTGAAGGGATTCAGGGAAACCGGTTATTTTTATATAGCCGGACTCGAGTCCTGGAAATGGGAAGTACAATGCCTGCACTCTAAAGGAGGGGTTCGGGATATTAGCAGTATGGAGGGATATGTTGTGTATCTTTATACGTATATGCTTCTAAACTGTTGTGTTCTGAGCACCTCTGCAAAAACAGTGATTATGTGTGAGTGAGGTAAAAGTGTTGAATGATTATGAAAATATTTTCTTTTTGGGTCACCCTGCCTTGGTGGGAGACGGCCGACTTGTTTTGAGAGAGAGAGAGAGAGAGAGAGAGAGAGAGAGAGAGAGAGAGAGAGAGAGATAGATAGAGATATAGAGATATAGAGAATAGAGAAGAGATAGAGAGATAGATAGAGATAGAGAGATAAGAGATAGAGATAGAGAGATAGAGAGAGATAGAGAGAGATAGAGAGAGAGAGATAGAGAGAGAGAGATAGAGAGAGAGAGAGAGAGATAGAGAGAGAGAGATAGAGAGATAGAGAGAGAGAGAGAGAGAGAGA